GTAGCTGCTGTGCAAGCGGGATCGATACGTAGTAGCGATCTCCAATAATGAGACGACTTCCTTGATACTCCAATCCGCGAAAGACGCAGGCAATATTCCGATTCACCGCCGCAGGTTCGTTCTTGGTGTCCATCGATTGTGAGCCCTCTGTGTCGCCGGCTCTGTCGATGTTGAGCTCCACTTTGACGTTAAATCATACATGTCAGCATTAGCAGTACCTTATGTACCGTCCTTGTCTTATTACGCACTTTTCCACTAACCGCTGTCCTCGCAACACGCCATGCCACAATTGGATTCCCAGCGGTGCGGTTTGTCTTTCATGAAAGAGTTTTCCAGGCTCTGTCGGTAGTTGCAACATGACTCGTGTTGTCAGTGAAGTGAAGAAAGCGCGAGATCTCACGGAATCCATCACGAGGCATAAATTCGCCAAATGTACCCGCAGGAAGAACGCCGATAGCTTGGGTGCTCCAGTTGTCCTCCATGCGCTTGCGTGGATTCAGCGGATGCGCAGCATCAATCCAACGCATTGTACAATCTCGTGGGGTGAAACCTTTTCAATTTTTTTTCCAGGATTCTTCGCAACTTATCTCTACTTCGCTGTGTACGACCCGCGACCTTCGCTTCCTTGGCTACCGCTTTGTAAAGTCGTGCTTCGAGCATTTGAGCCCAATACAAGTTGGTTTGGCTTGCAAAATTTCGCCAAAGCGCTTTCGGAAGGAAGTAGTAGAATAGGTTGAGGAGCGATTTGGAAGACGAAAATTATGTTGTGAGAAGGACTGCAGTAGCTGCTGTACATCTGGTCGACTACCGAGTCGCCTATGATGTTAACCTCCACGATGTTGGCTAAAACGTTCTTCCCAGCCTTCTTCATCTGGTCAAGCTGATCATTATCGTATACCTCGGAAGACACTGTCAGCATAACAGCAAGTTTAGATGGTGTTCTGTGTGAAAACTATTTTTACAGATTCAAGCCGAGACAGGTGAGTAATTGCTCACTCAAAATGTGCATGTGCAAATAAGTACGGATCCGGAATCCGGGGTGAATTACTTGTTTCATTTGCCAAGTTGAGGTGTATACAACCCGAGTGTA